ATTGACCACCCGTGTCCATTGGTTATTTTTGGGGGGACGTTGTAGACATGGTCATTTCCCAAGGCTGCTGTGCTTTTGGTGTGAGCTACTTGATGCAAAAGAGTGTTCTCCCTCGTCACCTGGCCGAGGCTGTGGGTCCATCAGGGCATGTGCTTAATTATTTGCCTTTAATTAGGAATGTTTAGAATGTGGAATTGGTATCAAATTCTCTTCTAATGGTGAGAAATGACTCGGTGTGCCTGTGTGTATGTGTGCATGAGTGTGTGTGTGTGTGTGTGTGTGTGTGTGTGTGTGTGTGAGTGAGTGTGTGTGTGTGTGTGTGTGTGTGTGTGTGTGTGTGTGTGTGTGTGTGTGTATGTGTATGTATGTGTGTGAGTGTGTTGATGGAGATCCAACCCCAGGAGTTGTGCATGCTAGGCCAACACTGTACCAGTGAACTATGTCTCCCAAGCATGTACTTATTCTGCTGATGCCCAAATTATCTCAAACCGGGAATTAGGTATTTCTCCCAAGAGATGTGATTCTCTTAATGTGGGATGGTGTTGAAAACAAAGGCTGGGTGAGGGTATGTTTGCTGTTTTGATGGGAGGGGAAAGTAATGCTTCTTTCTGTCAGTTGCTAGTAAGTTGGCAATAGATTTTTTTAAAAAATTATGAATTCATAATGACATTTTCTTTCTAACTCACTTTTCTCTTGTGGTGTTGCAACTGAACCCAGAGCCTGGAGAGTGCCAGACAAGTGCTCCACCACTGAGCTGCCCCTGCCCTGTCATTATGCTGCCAGTAATTTTTATATTATAGGCTTTTCTTAACATCTTATAGCTCTTGTATTTTCTGACAGTGAAAATCTTGGCTCCCTGTTAGGAGCATTAATATAAATTACTTATTTACATTACTCTCTCATCCACATGAAATTGTCCCCCAAGCCCCTGTACTAACACTTCCACCAATAATAAAGCCACTGTATAAAGTTTAAGATTGCCTTGCAATATACTTTTTGGGTGTTGTTCTTAGATTTCTTTTTATCCCATTGGGATGGACAGCCTGAACACCATGTGCTAAAGCCACCTGAAATGATTCTTCCCTCTGGGCGTTCTTCTTTGAAATTTGTCGGATAGGGAGACTCATTTGCTTCTGTTTTGTTTTTTCTTATGAGGTCTTCTTGGTTCTCCTTTGAAGTTTAACTTTGCGTTTTCCCCAGATTTGACATTTGCACGGTACAGAAATCAATCCATAGGACAGCAGATCCCCAAGGATCTTGTTCGAAGCCCTCTACCACAGGCCACTTCTCCGCCCCTTGTGAGAAACCGTGCTTATTTTATTTTTAAGACTAGCGTTTGGCTTACCTTTTGTATCAGTTACATGAGCAATGTCAGCAAGGAGGAGTTTTTTTTTGTCTCACAGGTTTGAGGGTGCATTCCATGATGGCGGGGGAGGCATGGTAGAAGGAACATGAGGCAGCTGGTCATGGTGCCTTCACAAGTCGGAAGCAAAGCAAGATGAGTTCTGTCATGGATGCCAGTTCATGGGATGGTGCCACCCACAGTCAGGCTAGATCTTCACTGGAAATACCCTCACAGACATACACAGAGGTGGATCTCCTAAGTGGTTCTGAATGCTACCAAGTTGACAATCAGGCTTAACCATCAACTGCTAGTGTCAAACTTCCTCCACTGGAATGCCTGCCCTTGTGATTTTCAGTGTCCCCGACAGCCCCATCTTTTAAATTCCAACCTGGGTCCTGCCCACTCCGTGGAATCTTTTGCTAAGCTTGGGTCCTTATCAAGTCCCCCGCCCCCCAATCAGTTCCGAAACACGCCAGCCTGCATCCCGCTGTCTGTGTCATGGGCTTGGGGTCTTGTTCATCTACTCTCGCCCACTGTTGTTCTTTAGCTGTTCCACTCTTGCTTCCTTTACATTATTTTTCTTTTTAGATTTTTTAATGTGTGTGAGTATTTTGCCTGCATGCACGTATGTGTACCACGTATGTGCTTGGTGCCTTCAGAGGCCAGAAGAGGGCATTAGACCTTCTGGGTCTGGAGTTGCAAATGGTTGTGAACCACCACGTGGGTGCTGGGAACCAAACTCTAGTCCCCTATGAGAACAAGTGCTTTTAACTGCTGAATCTTCTCTCCAGCCCCTAGTCTTGTTTTCTAACTAGGTTGCGTGTTCCTTTATGGGTGAGGACATGCCTAGAATTTTTTAAAAAATCTTATCATATTTTATTTATTCATATGGGGAGTTGAACACATGTATACAATGGCACAAGTGTGGAGGTCATAGGACAACTTGTGGGAGTTAGTTCTCTCTTTCCACCATGTGGGTCCTAGGAATCGAACTCAGATTTTTGGTTTGGCAGCAAGCTCCTTTAATCACTGGCCCCATACCTAGATTTTTTCTCTTTTTTTGGTTTTCTAGACAGGGTTTCTCTGTGTAATAGCTCTGGCTGTCCTGGAACTCACTTTGTAGACAGGCTGGCCTCGAACCCACAGAGATCCACTTGCCACTGCCTCCCGAGTGCTGGGATTAAAGGCATGTACCACCACCTCCCAGCTCCAATGCCTATAATTTTTCAAGAGCATGTTTATATTATGTTGTATTTATCTTGTGTACATGTTTGGGGTGGTGTTATATGCCTGCCACACCTCATGTAGAGGTCAGAGGACAAGTCGTAGGAATTGATTCTCTTTTCCACCATGAGTCCCAGGAATTGAACTCAAGTCATCAGACTTGGTGGCATGCGCCTTTATCCTCTGAGCCACCCTGCTTGCCCTGGAATTCTTTTCTATCCCCTATATAAAGTAAGCATGGACACACAATCATGTGTAATAGAGCCAGGAAGTTCTTACATTTTGTGTGGTCACAGCAAGCAGCAGATACTGCAACCTTATTCTGCCTGGAAATAGAGCATCGCATTCTTGCGAGCCCCTGGATGCAGCATTTTTATCAGTCAGTCAATTCATAACCTTGTTTTATGTGTGATTCTGTTTAAAGACACCGTGTTTGTTTAATACATACTTCTGAGTCATTAGCGTTGAGCTCAGCCAACTGCGCTGTAACTCATTCCTGAACAGCTTGGGGGAACATGCACATCTCTGTAAGGCACATCACAGCTCTCTGGTGCATATGAACGCTAGACAGCACTTAGTACTTTACTCAGGGGCCCTTTCACACAGTGGAATCACCCACAAAAATATGAAAAGTAAAAGCCATGGTACTCAATAGAGGGGTCAAGGGACACTTACTAATAGCCTCAAAGCTGAAACAGGACAAGAGAGAGTAATTTTGTCTGATCTCAACAGGAATGTGTGCATTGGAACAGGCGAGTCTCTCTCTCTCTCTCTCTCTCTCTCTCTCTCTCTCTCTCTCTCTCTCTCTTTTTCTTTCTCTGTGTGTGTATGTGTGTGTGTGTTGTTTGCATTTGTGTGTGTTCATAAGTATATGTGCAGCTGTGTGCATGGAGGCCATAAATTGATGTCAAGTGTCTTTCTGGATTGCTCTCCACATTAATAAAAAATAGTTTTTATTACATTTGTTTTGTGTATGTATGTGGACACACTTGCATAGTTGGTTGTTTTTCCTCTTTTTAGGTGCCCATCACCCAGCTCCCAAATAAATCACACATGGAGGCTTATTCTTAATTATAAATGTCCGGCCATAGCTTGGCTTATTTCTTGCCAGCTTTTCTTAAATTATCCTGTCTACCTTTTGCCTCTGGGCTTTTTCCTTTTCTTATTTCTGTATATCTTACTTTCACTCCTACTCCGTGACTGGCTGGGTGGCTGGCCCCTGGTGTCCTCCTCTCCTTGTTCTCTTGCTCTTTCTTCTCCCAGATTTATCTCTGGGAGATAATTTATCTATTTATTCTTTTATTCTATTTATTCTCTCTGCCTGCCAGCCTCTCCTATCCTTTTTCCTGCCTCGCTATTGGCCATTCAGCTCTTTATTAGACCATCAGGTGTTTAGACAGGCAAAGTATCACAGCTTCACAGAGTTAAACAAATGCAACATAAAAGAATGCAACACATCTTTGTATCATTAAATAAATGTTCCAGAGCATAAACAAATGTAACACGCTTTAAAATAATATTCCACAACATACTTATGCCATGGTGTGCATATGGAAGTCAGAGGACAGCTTTGGGAACTCCGTTCTCTCCTGCCCACAGTGTGGGTCTTGAGGATTGATCAGATCATCAGGCCTCCCGGCAAGTACATTAACCTACTGGACTATCAATCCAGTCCCAACTTATATTTTGAAACAGAATCTCTCACCAAACCTGGAGCTCACTTCTTCAGAAAGGCTAGAAGGCTGGCTATCAAACTTAGGGAATCCTCCTGTCTCCACTTCCCTCACACTAGGATTATAGATGTGTGTTGGTATGCTAGGTTTTAACATGGATGCTGGGAATTTGACCTCAGACACCAAGCACTTACTGACTGAGCTGTCTTCCCAGCCCTGTAACTTATATTTTTTTCTAAGTCTATTTCTTTTTTTTATCATTATTATTATTATTTTTAAATTTTGTGTCTATGTGTCTTTGTGGGAGTATTTACACATGAGAGCAATTGCCCATGGAAGCCAGAAGAGGGTACTGGATTTCCTGGGGCTAGAATTATAGGCTGCCCAACATGGGTGCTGGGGACTGAACTCTAGTCCTCTGAAAGAGCAGTCTGTACTTTTAATCACTGACTCATCTCTCCTGCATGTCTGTTTCCACCCATGGATAATCCAAACTGGCTCACATATTAATTTTGAGGTTCAAAAACTCCCTGAAGTGAGTGACTTTGACATACAGAATCTGTAAATAAAGAGGATTGGCCCTGTCAATCTGAGTTAACCTCGGACTAGTTTTCTTCCCACCTTGCACACACACCACCAGGTGATTTCTAAAGTGTTTTTATAAGGGCTATCATTCCAGTCCTGAGTGAGTCCCCCATTCCTTTTCATTTGGCTCCCTGTAGCTGGCCAGGTCCTGAGCTGGTGCCCTTTCCTTGTAGGTTTGTAGACTTCCACGCAGCCGCTTCCACCTGCTCTCCTTCGCGAGCCTCCCTGCTGACTGGCCGGCTGGGTCTACGTAACGGAGTCACGCACAACTTTGCCGTCACATCCGTAGGGGGGCTTCCACTCAACGAGACCACCTTGGCTGAGGTGCTGCAGCCGGCTGGCTATGCCACTGCCATGATAGGTAATGTATCTTGGGGAGCTGCTTCAAGATCTCAGAGTCTCTGGATGGCTGCTGCCTCTTCCGCTCTCATCTGCATTTTTTGTTGGTATCTTGCTGGGTACGTACGCTAGGAATGCTCTCAGCTAGCTGTCCGTAACTGGGACGACCTGGCAGTGGTTGGCAACGTGTATAGAGCTCTTTCCTCCCATGATAATAAGCTTTGTGGTAAGTGATTGCATCCATTCGGCCAGACGCGCAAAGATACCATTGGGAGCTTTTCGGACTCTTGCTGCTATCCTGAGCATGTGGCTTTGTTCTCGTGCCTGTGGCTGGAGTGCCTGCCTCAGCTTCAGGGTCCGTGATTGTAATCAAGGATGGGGAAGAGAAGGAATGGGTTCCAGCCGCATGCACCTACCCATTCTTACCAAGAAACAGAATCTTTTGTTTAAGAAAAGAATCCTTCCCGCCTAACAACTGGGCTTAAATCATACCGTCTAGAGTTGGGTAACATGGCTACTAGGTTGCAAAGAAGGCTGGGAAACTGGGTTATAATAATTGACTTGGCCCTGGGCCTGGCCATCTTGAACAAACTGACAGCTCTGGGCTACAAGTGAGTCCGTGGTGAAGCACCTACCTAGAATGCACAATACACTGGGTGCTGTCTCTGTAGCAAACAGTCCTAACCCTGCCCCCACCCCTCCAAACTGCCAAATTTTATTAGAAGCATAAATGAAGACATGGACACAGGACAGGAAAACAGCAGGCGGTTCCGTTGTTCATCCGTGTCTTTCCCTCTCTCCCTTCCTTCCTTCCTCTTTTGTTTTTGTTTGTTTTTTTTTTTTTTGAAACAGAGTCTCATGCGTCCCAAGATGGCCGCTGAGGATGACAAGGAACTTCTGATCCTCCTGTCTCCACCTCCTGAGAGCTGGAATTTTAGGCATGTGCCACTATGTCCGGTTTTACGGGGTCCTGGGGATGGAACCTTGGCAAGCACTCTACCAACTGCATCCCTAGCTCTATTTGTTTCTGAAACAGGGTCTTACTATGTAGTCCAGGCTGGCCCCAAGCATACAGTCCTCTTTTCAGCCTCAGAGTGCTGGAACTCCAGGCTTCCTCTCCTTGTATACATTTTTACGGCACCTCTTATTGAGCATGGCCTGTGTTCTGGCCCCAGAGATCCGTTCATTTTCATAGGATTATTACTCTCCTATTGTAGAGCCAGAGAACTATGTCTTGAACCTGAGGACACTGGCTTCACATTCCTGCCTGAGACAGGTGCTGTCTGTGTCTGCACAGGGTCTGACCCCAGATGCTCTGACCACCCAGCAGTTCCTCCAGCCTCCTCAGCCTGTTTGTGCTTGTTGTTTACTTTCAAAACCCGGGTTCCAGTGGGATTCCCGTGTCTCTCCCATAGTGAAAAGGCAAGGGAGGGTGTGCCAGCAGGCATGCGACAGTGAGGGTCCCTGTGGATGAGACTCTGGTCTCTGGAGCCTTCTGTGTTAGCTTGGAGGAGGTTGCTAACACAGACCAAGGGCTGGCATCTCTGGTGTTTCCTTCCCCACTCTGAGTTCTTTTATAGGCGGAGGACAACATTCATTGACTCAGAAGGAGAAGCCCCAGTTAGCGGAAGAAGGGACCAATTAAAGATTATTTTCTCTTTCTAGCTTCCTATGTGGCTAGTTTTATGTCAACCTGACCACAAGCTAAAGTCATCTGAAAGGAGGGAATCTCAATTGAGAAAATGCCTTTGTAAGATCCAGTTGTAAGGTTTTTTTTTTTTTTTTTTTTTTTTTCATCCTGAGACAGGGTTTCTCTATGTAACAGATGTGGCTGTCCTGGAACTCACTCTGTAGACCAGGCTGGTCTCGAACTCACAGAGATCCACCTGCCTCTGCCTCCCGAGTGCTGGGATTAAAGTTGTGTAACACCACCACCCAGCAGCCATGGCATTTTCTTTATTAGTGATGCTTAGGGGAGGGCCCAGCCTATTGTGGGTGGGGCCAGCCCAGGCAGGTGGTCCTGGGTTCTATAAGAAAGCAGGCTTAGCAAACCATGATGAGTAAGCCTCTGCGCCGGCTCCTGCTTTCGGGTCCCTCTTTGAGTTCCTGTCCTGACTTCTTCCAGTGATAAACAATGATGTGGAAGTGTAAGCCAAACAAACTCCTCCCAAATTGCTTTTGGTCTGGGGTTTCAGCACAGCAATAGTAACCCCAACTAAGACACTCTTCCCTGCTCCTACCCTGAGGTATAATTACGCTGTCATCAGTACCAAGAGGGCACATGAAGCTCCCCCTGGGAGTTGCCTGTTAGATAGACCTATTAGATACATCCATGTTATCCCTAGAGCCAGGATGGGTTTCGTCTCTGGACTGCCTGATGCTAGAGCCTCATACAAAGGGGCCTGGCCTCTTCTTCACCTGCTTTGGTATTGTGGTTCCTTTTTGCCTTTCAACACCAAGTATGTGACTGATCCCAGGTGTCTGTGTAGCTCTCCCCCACAACCCCCACCCCAAACTGCACCTTTGGTGAGCCTAAAGAAGATAAGTGCATCTACCTGCTTATGAATGAAACTCACCAAAGGGCTCTGGGGGATGTTCAGAGTGCTCAACACCACTTTGGCTCTTTGTCTGTGTTCATGTGTTTTTACCCGTTCCCTCTTCATATTATTTTATATTATATATTTATATATTTATAAAATATTTTATATATTTTAATATACTATATTAAAATATATATAATATTTTTATATATTACGATATATTTCAGACAGAGACTTGCTGTGTAGCCTGGTTTTGAACTCTTATATAACCTTATCTGACTTCTGAACTTTCAGCCTCAATGTCTTGGGCACTGTAGTCACAGACATGTGCTATCACTCAGGCTTCCCTCAGTTCTTTCTTTCTTCTTTTTTTTTCTTTTCTGACACAAGGTCTCACTATGCAGTCCTGACTGGCCTGGAACTCGCTGTGTAGACCAGGCTGACCTGGAACTCACAGAGATCCACCTGCCCCTGTCTTTTGAGTGCTGGCACTAAAGGTGTGCACCACTGCACTTACCCTTGACTTTTTCTTTAAAAGGCTTGCTTTTCAGCTGGGTTTTGGTTTTGGTGGTGGCGCACGCCTTTAATCTCAATAGAGACAGGCGGATCTCTGTGAGTTCGAGGTCAACCTGGTCTACAGAGCGAGATCCAGGACAACCAAGGCTACAAGAAGTAACCTTGCCTTGGAAACAAAACAAAACTTGTTTTTCAGAGCCACAGAACAGAGCTGGGCATGGCGTTAGAGAAGAGATCTGGAACCTGAGGGCAGCCTGAGCTACATAGTAAGAGCCTGTCTTCAATAAACACAGCAGTTTGCAGTTGCAAGACTCATATAGATGCTCATCTTGATTCCCGGGCTGTTAATTTTTTCTCTGCGTGTTTTCTTTAAAAGGTAGTTTGGCTGTGTTTTACTAAGGCCACATCAAACAGTTTACTTAGTCACACGCCTGTGTCTGCTTGCTGGCTTCCTTCCTCCCTTCATGTTGTCAAAGGTCACCACAGTTTAGATCTTTGGATTGATTTTACATCTCTGGCCGGCTTGCCTTGGCAGTGGTTTCCTGGGATCCAGTCCGCAGAGCAAATGAGCTGATCAGAGTTTCTCACATTGTCAGAGCTCTGCCCCACATCACCCAATTATCTCCTCAGAACGAATGCGCTGGTCGAGCAGGATCTGCAGGTTTCTCATTTGCTGCCCTGCAGGTGTCTCAGTGCTAGAGCTGCTGGGGGAAGTGGCCTGTGCCCTGGCCTCTGCACACTGCCGACGACGACAATACCCAGAGGTGCTGAGGCCGGGCAGGGTGGGGACCTGCACACATCTTCATCTTTGCAGGATGCTCCACAGGGCATCACAAGTCACGGGCTCCCGAAGGAAGAGGCTCAGCTGGACAGCATCACTGGGCTGCTGGGAAGAGAGACTAGCTCCAGCTCATCTTTCCCACGTGGTCCTGAGTCATCCGGTCCTTGCTTGCCTCCTGTCTCCTTGTAGGATCCCTTGCGGCCCCAGAGAGCAAAACTCAGCACTGGCAGGTTCTCTTCGTTCTCACCGGAGTGTGAAGCTGATGGGAACCGAGTATGTGATTAGCTTCTTGGAGAGTCTATATGTTTCCACAGAGCCCCATCTGAACGTCTCTCTTTCTCTCTCTCTTTCCACAGGCAAATGGCATCTTGGGCACCATGGCCCTTATCACCCCAATTTTCGTGGTAAGAATTCTTTTGGAGTTTGTTCCCTGGGAACCCAAAAATAAGGACCCCTGTGTAAAAGAGCATTTGAAGCCATTGTATCCCTGGAGATATTCTGCGTTAGGACATCTTTGCTTCAAAAGTCTTTAGGTACATGCAGGGTACCAGTGCCCCCATCCTCACATCTCTTTCTAGAACCTTCTCTGGTCCTCTATCTTGTTGTCTGTCTGCCCGAAAGGCTAGTCAGTCCACTGTGGACCCATCCATTTCCTTCCATCTCCCAGTTCTTTGCGCCTTAGGGAACAGTCTGGAAGTCCTGATGACGCAGGTAGAAAGAAGTTTTTAAACAAAAGGTCTGATGGTTTGCTGGAGCACAGACCTGTGTCATGGGCCTGGATAGAGGAAGCTGCCTCCTGGCCTCTTCCTGCAGCTGTTTGCATCCTCAGACCTCTCACCCCTGGAGAAGAAGGTCAAGACCAGGCTGTCAAAGTGGATTCTCTAATCACTCAGTGACATACTCTCTGAATGTCAGATTTGCCGAAGTATGAGTGTTCTTTCCAATTTGTAGTTTGTGCCTCTGCCCTTTCCGTAGCCTTTCCTTTTGCTCATGGGAACCCGCACACTGTCCCTTAGAAGCCGTCTACCACGTCAGCACATGCAGCCCTTGACCTGCTGCGTACGCCTGTCTGTCCTCCCCTGCCACTTTATACACAAATGGGCGACCTTTTCCTTTAGACAGTCTCTGTTTTGCAAACTTCTCCCTCACCTTGCCTGAGTGTCTCTCCCTAACTGTGCAAAGGGCTGCATTGTGCCTGAAGGATCCTTTTGAAGGAACACAGAGGGCAGAAGATGGAGTTGTGCCTTTTTAAAAATGGCCGATGGAGGGAAGGAACACCAAGCCTGTCCACTGGCCAAAAATTACTGCAGAAAGTAGGTCTCTCTTCACATATTAGCTCCATTGGTGACATCTTGAGCACTGTTCCTGGAGTCCTGAGCAGAAAGGCATACTAGACTGTACCCTGCTTAGAGGCAGAGGTTCCATGATGGGTTTGTGAGTCTGACCCAGGAGTGGGAAGTGGGAAGAAAGATCCACATATTTGCTGCCTTTGCATCACATAGTGTTGAAAGCCTTCTTGCTTGGGCAATGTGGGGTTTCTTAGCTGCTCCCTCCTGTCCCCTCCTGCTTTTTGTATTCTGCCCATGTACACTATCCTGGTTCCCATGAACCCCCATGAACCCACCATGGATCATGTCAAACATCACCCATCCCTCTTATGCATCCATACTCCCCCTGCGACTCTTGGTTATTCCAGAGACCAGGGCTCCAGTAAACACGGAGGCTTCTCACTAACTCTGGGGTCTGAGGGCAGTTGATAATCTAAACTAGGAGTTGGTATACACACAGCGTGGGCCAAATTCAGCAAGCTGTTTCTGTCAATACAGTTTTATTGGAAACAGTCATGTTCATCTTTGTGCCTATTGCCCACGGGTGTTTTATGCTACAGTGACAGAGTTCGGAAACCATCATAGAGACTTCTTGCCAACAAAACCTGAAGCATTTGCTCATCGTGACAACAAATGACGACAGCTGAGGGGTCTGTCGTTTACCTGTGAGGTATTCAGATCTACTTGTACAGATAAGGTTGACATGGAGCTATCAGGTTTTCTTCAATACTAGTAACATTTACCAGCCATTCTATATCTATCTATCTATTTGTCTGTCTATCTATCTATCTATCTATCTATCTATCTATCTATCTATCTATCTAGAAAGGAAACTAGTCTAGCTTCCTTTCTGCTGTTGCGACAAATGCCATGACCAAAGGGAACTCCGGGAGAAAAGGATTTATTTGGCTTATACTTCCAGGTCATAGTTTGTCATCAAAGGGAGTCAAAGCAGGAACTTAAAAGTCGAAACAGACCTGTGTTGAGTTCGCTGTAGTCTGAAACTACCTGCCTTGCCTAGGGAATGGTGCTGCCCACAGTGGGTCTTCCTACATCCATGAGCAAAGAAGACAGTTGTTCAACAACATACTCACGAGCCAACCTGATCTGGGAGGTCCCTTCATTGAGACCACTCCCCCTTCTCAGGTCACTCTAAGCTATGTCATGTGTTGACAGTTAAAGCTAAACGAGATGTAAGCCACCTACTGGTAGATGAGGGTCTGTCTAATGTTCCAACGTAAGGGATGCAGTGCGAAGGGGAAGAGCCTGTCGTTCATGCTGGCAGAGTCTGAAGGCTGTGGCTGGACTATGAGAAAGAAAGAGGAAGGGGCTGGCAGGAAGTGGTGAGGAGAGGGGCATTTTATGGGAACCGCACTAGATCTCTGCGGGATTGCTTCTCTATAGCTTCACTAGTAAGAGCTACAGAGCAGGCGATTCCAGGCAAAGCCACTGGCGTTCCAGAGTATGAGTCACGTGAGAAACGGGATAGCAAATGTGCAGATGGAGCAGGCCAGAGGCACATGCAGGGGCTGAAGAGGCAAGGCACCCTCCCTGCTTGTCAGGCCCAGTTAAGAGCTTGAGCTGTAGAAGAGACAGGCTGAGGGACAATGTCAGAAAACACGGACACAAAGAGTTTGGGTTACAGCGTTCACATTCTTCCTCCAGCCCATCCCACCTCCCAGCCTTTGAAGTCCTGGCTCAGACACTCATTCTTTAGGAGGCGTGTTGAGATGTTATTGCTGTGTCCACCCCACCCACTGCATCTGGGAATATCTTCCTCCTCTGACCCTTCTAGTGATGAGCCAAGATCTCAGTACATAGGCCAGGCTGGCCCCAAACTCAGGCTCCTTCAACCTCATCCTCCGTTATGCTAGGATTAGTCCTGACTCATCCACTTCTCATGGCTTAAAATACCTCATTTTCTTTGTTATAAATTTTGTATTACTTTAATTTTGTGTGTGCATACACACATGTGTACTGTGGCATGCATGTGGGGGGGGGGGGGTCAGAGGACAACTGTAACATGCTTTCTTTTGGACTACCAACCAGCTCCCAAATCATGACACAGAGACTTCTTATTCGTTATGAATGCTCGGCCTTATCTTATGCTTGTCCCACTAGCTCTTATAACTTAAATTAACCTGTTTCTCTTCATCTGCATTTTGCTCCGGGGTTTTTTACCTTTCTTTCATTCTGTTTGTCCTACTCTGTGTCTGTCTCACTGGTGGCTGCCTGGCTGACTGGCCCAGGCATCTCCCTTTCTTTCTCCCTTGTTCTCTCTCCCACCCACCCCCCTTTTTTCCTCCTACTTAGTCTCTCTGCCCACCAGCCCCGCCTACCCCTCTTCTGCCTGGCTATTGGCCCATCAGCTTTTTATTAGACCAATCAGATGCCTTAGGCAGGCAATGGAACACATCTTTATATTGTTAAACAAATGCAGCATAAACAAATATCACACATCTTTACATTGTTAAACAAATAGTCCACAATAGACGACTCTTGGGACTCAAGTCTCTCCTTCTACCATATAGTTCTGGAGATTGAACTCACATCATTAGGCTTGTTGGCAAGCATCTTTACCCACTGAGTCATCTCAGTGGCCCCACATAGAAAGCTTCCCAAGGGCAGAATCCCTTAAACTATCATGTATGCAATGGATCTCTTTTTTTTTTTTTAAATCAAGTACTTACCACATGTATTCATAACTTTAGAGGATGTTAGATGGTCAGCAGTTCTTGGTACTTCCTCCCAGTCTAGGCTAACTTTCATCACAAGACATTTCACAAAGCTAGTCTTACAGCCAGAACCCCGCAAAGTGATTTTCTTTGCATACTTCAAAGGGATATTAATCAAATCCTCTTTTAATTACACACTCTAGAGCACCGTAATATTAAATCACAGGAAATTAAATTTTGTTGTGCGTGTGAGAGGGCAGGCGTGCTGAGAAGCAGTGAGTGGGGGTGCTAACCCCTTGCCCCTCTTCCAGGTTTTGATTACTACTTTGGAATCCCATACAGCCATGACATGGGCTGCACTGACACCCCCGGCTACAACCACCCTCCTTGTCCAGCATGTCCCCAGAGTGATGGCCTATGGAGGTAAGAATGTTCCCTGCATTGACTGGGGACTTTAAGTCAAAGTGGAGACTGGAGTTCTAGAATAAGTGAGTGAGACAGACATGGACAGTTGAGGCAGCACACAAGATAAAGAATGCATTCAGGGCAAAAGGTTTTTTTATTTATGCCCCAATGCAAAGATGGGAATTATAAATTTTTTTTTTCTGTTGGAATTTTCCAGAATCTCTGAATTGTTTAGCTCACCTGGGGAGAGTCTTGTGTCTGCCAAGATCTCACACAGGTAGGGCCTCCCTCCTCTGCCTGCTGGCTTTGCTCCTAGACTTTCCCTGGCCCAGACTTGAGACATGGGGGCAGGGGGAAAGAGAGAGAGAGAGAGAGAGAGAGAGAGAGAGAGAGAGAGAGAGAATACGCTATACATATACAGAGACAGAGGAGGGAGACACAGAGACAGAAAGAAAAAATTTATATATAGAAAGACAGAGACAGAGACAGAGAGAGAGAAAGAGAAAGACATATACACAGAGATAGCAGGGGGAGACACAGAGACAGAGACAAAGAAAATGAGAGATACAGAGAGAGAGAGAGAGGGAGACATAGACAGGGAGAAAGAGAGAGAGAAAGACATACACAGATGGGTGGAGACAGAGACAGAGAAGCAGACAGAGAGAGACATACACAGATAAAGATGGGGGGGGGGGGGTTGGGGGGAGAGTTGCTAAGCCTTACTGAGGTAACAAACTAGCTCGGTCCCGTGGTCCTCCCCCTCAGAACCTGTGCTGTAGGTATTCCCGAGGCCACAGGTGTCTCAACTGCCTGGGGAACGTCTCCGCTGACTCATTAGTCACAGAATAGTTAATATAAAAATGGTTATTTATTGAGAAGTTGTTACATTCTGGGCACGCCTCACCCTTGCCTGTAATCCACGGGACCAGTTTGCCTTGCCTGGGTCACAACCAGGGATGGCGGGAGGTAAGAACCTGGATTCCAGTCTGAGTCCAGGGCCATGTCCTCCAGGTTTGCTTCTTAGTGCGTGGTTGCTGGACCAGCGTTGTGGATGTCATCACCTGGGTGCACATGGGACATGAAGAAACAGACCCCCCTCCCAGGCCTGTGCTTAATAAGATGGCAGGTGACAGTGTGAAAGGCTGGGCTGTGTCTTGGTGCCTTTCTTACACAGCTGTGTGTGGCCTAGGGGGGTCACACCCACAACCCCATGTGGCCATCCAATGGCATGAGATGTCTCAACCGATGTCTCCCTTCCTCCCCACCCCCATTCCTTCTTTCACTGTCAATCTATACTACAATAAAACAGAATTGAAAGCATTGGCTGGTTGACTTAGACTTGGAATGGCAGTGAAATTCTATCAAGGCAATAAAAAAGCTGAAAATTCCAGCAAAAATACAGAATAACCAAGCCAACATCAAATAAATTTACGTAATTTTTGTAAAGATTTATTTTATTTTTATGTATATGTGTGTGCATCTGTGTGTAGGTTTGTATACGTGAGAGGAGGTGCCCAAAGAGGCCAGAGAGAGTGTCGGATCCCTGGAGCTGGAATTACAGGTGGTTTTGAGCCGCCTCATATGGGTGTTGGGAACTGAACTTGGGTCCTCTGTAAGAATAACACGTGGTCTTAACCGCTGAGCCATGTTTTTAGCTGCAGCGGCTTCCTAAAAAAAAAAAAAAAAGTGTTCAGCAATGATTTCCTCAGTTTGATGCCTTCTCCAGCAGGGTGTTATGTGCACGGAGGTGGAGCGCAGTTTCCTATGTCCCCAGCCCTCTCTGATTGTCCTCCGGAGGACATGTGTGATACTGTAGGACTTCCGTCCTTTCGCCCACTTCTTGGTGATGACCAGGGCAGAGAGCTGCCATTTGTCCTCCAGACATCCCCTGTAAGGGGCACAGGTGACCTCATTCTAGACAGGTGTAAACTCCAGGAGTGAAGGTAACTTAATCCAGATCATGGCCAGGGGAGGAGGTATAAAGCCACGAGGCAGCAGCCGGTCAGATTGACTTCACCCTCCTAAGGTGGAATTGGTTTTCACCAAGAACTGGTAGCTTTCTAACTTCCTTTTTTTCTATTTTTTTTATTTTCTCAGTGTTACACAGTTTCTCCAAACTTTCTAAACATGATTGAAAATTAAAACCACCCTAGGCCATCTTATATATTCTGCCCTATTATCAGAATTTTTTTTCCCACGTGAAATCCTGGTCAGGGACAGCACCCGCAGTACCCAGTGTTGCCCACCATACGTACTATCACTGAAGCTGGACAGTGGAGAGAGCCAGTTGTGGGAGTGCTGGTGGGCTATGTATGGGACTAACCTGTTCAGACCTCAGTGTCTCTCTCTGCACAATGGGAACTGTAATGTCCCAGGCTCAGAAGTATCTCATCAAGTTTTACAGGGTGGCTGACTCATCCAAGGAACATAAACATCTATTCAAAGGGAAGGGAAAAGCCGTGACTGATCTGCTAAATCCCTTGGGACCAGCTATTTCGTGTTTCACATCTGTGTGTGTCGCAGCACTAAAGCTTTCTGTGATTATTTAGGATGTGAAAATGAGTGCTCCCCTCGCTGTGTTTTCCACGCAGGAGCCCCGAGAGGGACTGTTACACAGATGTGGCCCTTCCTCTCTACGAAAACCTCAACATCGTGGAGCAGCCGGTGAACCTGAGTGGCCTTGCGCGGAAGTATACAGAAAAGGCGGCGGAGTTCATTGAGCAGGCAAGGTAAGGCGCACAGTGCCTGCTCCTGTCCCCTCCTCCACAGACACCAAGTCCTCCTGCCCCGGGGCCTCTCAGCGCTGAGGCAGAGTTTCATGCTGCAACAAGTATGTGTGTGTGTGTGTGTGTGTGTGTGTGTGTGTGTGTGTGTGTGTGTGTGTCTCCCATATGCTAATAACGTGGATGTTCCTAATGGACTCTCTGGGCCTGGGTTCGAAGTTCCTCAGGTATGTTCCTTCCTATGGCCTTTGACTGTCCTGCCTTAATTAGCACCATGGTTGTGGGCATTTTTTTCTTCTCTTACTAGAGTGTAAGTTCCTTGCGGGCAGGGCCTGCCCACTGCATTTAGGGTATTTGTTGGATTCATTTGTTAACAGGCAGTATGAATTCCTTACTGCTGCTATAACAAATGACCACCAAAATGGTGACTAAAAACAATAGTAACCATAGTAAGTTCTCCTCAGATTTGGATGCTAGATGCCTGAAGCCAGGCTTAGAGAGTTAACATCAAAGTGTGAACAGGGCTTATTCTTTCTGGAGTCTCCAAAAATAATTGTCTCTTTCTTTTTGTTTGTTTGATGTGACAGGATTTCTCTGTGTAGACCTCACTGTCCTGGAACTCATTCTGTAGATCAGACTGGCCTTGAACTCAGAGATCCACCTGCCTCTACCTCCTGAATGCTGGGATTAAAGGCATGAGCCATCATTGCCTGGCTTTCTTTTAGCTTCTAATGGCTGCTGGCTTTCATTGGTTTATATGGCCCCATCATTCTAACTTCTACTTCTTTTGATCCCTTGTTATTTCAAATGCTCTTACCCTTCCTCTTTTAGACAGGGACTCATGTAGCCCAAGCTGGCCTCTAACTTGCTATGTAACTGAGGATGCCCTTAAATTTCTGATCTTCCAAATGCTGGGATGTGTCACGCTGCCCAGCCTTCTTTTAAGGACACTAGTTATTAATAGTCAGCCAGGAACCAGATGTGACTCTGGAACTCAGGAGGCTAGCAAAAAAAAAAAAAAAAAAAAAAAAAGTCAACCAGGAAATCTCAAGACATCTCATTTCAAGATCTTTAACGTAATTATACCTGTAAAGTCCCCTTTGCCATGGAAGGTAAAATTCTCCAATTCCAGAGACTAGACTTCAGGTATGTTTGGGGGTTGTTATCCAGTCTCGCACACGGGGTTCCAAATATGCACATTTACAGTTCCCACAAAGCAGGTCTGAAGAGCTAGCTCAGTGGTTGAGCGTATTGGCCACCCTCCCAGAGGATCCAGGTTCAATATCCAGCACCCACATGGTGGCTCAGGACCACCTGTAACTCCAGTTCCAGGAGGTCTTATTCTTCTGGGCTCCAGGGGCACTGCACCTGTGTGGTGCAGAGATACACATGCTAGCAAATTACCCATACACATAATACAGAATTTTAAAAAATCTTTCAAAAAGTGGAAAACAGGCTGAACATGGGGCAGACATACCCCATCTATTGTAAAAGTAGCTACTTAACTCCAGCCATTGATGATGGGTGAGCCTGGAATGTGAGCCTGGGGTATCAGATCTTTCCAGTTTCTGGAAGAGACAGGAAACAGTCTTTAAATGTAGAAACTACTAATTAAAAACAGCCAAAAGAGGGTTAGGGTAGCTCAGTGGATAAGGGTACTTGCTGCTAAGCCTGACAGTATGAGCTGAATTCCTGGGACCGTATGGGTAGAAGGAGAGAACCAACTCGCAAAAGTTGACCTCTGACCTCTACACACCATGACACTTCTAAATAAATTAAATTAATGTTCAAAGAAGCAAAAAGTAAAGATGACAACAAAATCCATACCACTGTGTGTGAGGGTGGCCATTGTCCATACCACTGTGTGTGAGGGTGGCTGTTGCCCATCCATGTCCTGTTATCTCAGAGAATGACTGGAAGTGTGATTGATTTCCTCTTTCTCCCAAGGTCCTAAACTTCTCTTAGGTTTACAGCAGTCACTGAAGTGAGCAAGAAGACAAAAACGTGCCGTGTGGCTGCCTGCTCATGTAGAATTCAAATGGCTTCATGTGTGGATGGCTGAGCAGACCATCTCCTGACTGTGCAGCATCCTACAGCCCATGCTCAGCCATGTTGGACTTTCTATAGACACCATCAGGGAGGGCAGAAGTAGCAGTGAATAGACTAAGTTGTCTGTGTGTGCTCTTCATAATACAGGCCATTACTTCAGGCCCAGATCTCAGAGTAGCCTCCCAGGACATTAGAGGTTCCATCTGAATAATTCCCCAGACTTTACTGAGAAACACTGCCAATGGTTTTTCTCAGATTTCTGGTATAGATGGAGCTTTTATGATCTGGAAGGTTGAGCATCTCCGGGCTTCCTGCAGCTCTGAAACGGCTCTAGTTCCCTTTGCCCTATGACGGGCAGATGCTTTGTGGTTGGCGAGGGCAGATTCCTGCTGCTTTACAGTCTCAGCCTTCTGACAGGAGGGATGGCAGCTGGTTGGGGCTGGGGACTGTGTAATGCTTGCTCTGCAGGGGTGGTGGAGCCTGACACCCATCATTTGAGGGACTCATTAAGAGACAAATCAACTGATGCTCTCTCCATATCAAACAAAGAAAATGAAGAGTTGGCTAGTTCCTTAAAGCTAAAGGTAATGAGTCCGTTGGCTTCTTAACTTTTCAGAAGGTAATCACAGGGCGTGCAGGTTTAAGATTTGACCTGCCAATCCATCCATGACTTCCTCACTGTAACAGAAAAGTCCCCTGGACCTGCTCACATCTGTGCTGGCTAGTTTTATGTCAGCTTGACACAAGCTAAAGTCATCTGAGAGTATGAACCTCAATTATGAAAATTCCTCCATAAGATCAGGCTGTAGACAAGTCTTGAGGATATTTTCTTAATTAGTGATCAATGGAGGAGGGCCCAGCCCATTGTGGGTAGTGCCATCCCCTTGGCTCATGGTCCTGGGTTCTTTAAGAAAACAGGCTGAACAAGCCGTGAGAAGCAAGCCAGTAAACAGCACCCCTCCATGGCCTCTGCCTCAGCTCCTGCCTCCAGGTTCCTGCCCTGTTTGAGTCCCTGTCCTGACTTCTTCCAGTGATGAACAGTGATATGGAAGTGTAAGACAAATAAACCCTTTCCTCCCCAAGTTGTTGTTGTTGTTGGTTTGTTTGTTTTGTTTTTCGAGACAGGGTTTCTCCGTGTAGCTTTGGAGCCTGTCCTGGAACTCTTTCTGTAGCCCAGGATGTCCTCCAACTCACAGAGATCCGCCTGCCTCTGCCTGCCAAGTGCTGGGATTAAAGGTGTGTGCCACCACCACCACCCGGCTCTCCCCAAGTTGTTTTTGGTCATGGTGTTTCATCACAGCAATGGTAACTCTGGCTAAGACAACACCTGCCTGGGAATAGAGAATAGAGAGTTTGGCGAGTAAAGGTGGGTGAGTTGGGCAGAAGAATAGATGTTGACTTGGTGTGTTTGAAATCAGAGTCTTCTGGGAAATCTGGTATGTAGTCAATACGCAGATGTTATGGACTGTATGTCTATGTCCCCTGCAATTCAAGACCCTCAGTCACACGAGACATGTCCAACTTTTTGACACAACTTGTCATTTACAAAGTTTATATTTGCAAACTGCACAATCAAGTTAACTAAAGAAAATCACATCTGCACATAAAAATCTTATGTTTTAAGTAAGTTTATGTTTGGCAGTATTCATAGATACCCTGTGTACATGTGGCCTAAACGGGGTGGAGGCTAGATACACCTTCACCTGGTGGGATATTATTAGGAGGTGGGGAACCTTTGGAAAGTGTTTATGTCTAGACCAGGTTGGAAGGATGGAGTCCCTGTGATTGGATCAGTGCCCTTATCAGGAAATGATAAGTTTCTCTCTCTTTTAGGGCTGAAAGGGAGAAAGAGTCCAAGAATGGAGACACTGGACTTCGCATGGGCTATGACTGTGGGAGTAAAGAATTGCTTGCATTCACCCGGCCTGTGGTCTTTCTGTTCAAGCAGTCTCAGTTAGGACATGTGTATCATTCAGAACAGTGTCCTAATGACACATAGATGAAAACCGAACCTTCGAGAGCTGGAGCCTAAGCTTTGCCAAGTCCTGTCTTTTGCTTGATTTGCCTTTGCAGAATGTGGTGCTCTAAGCAAAGTAGCCACTATCGTCCTCAGATCAGCTGTGTCTACATGCAAGAGGCCACCAGGAATGGGTTCACTGTTGACATTCTCTCCTAGAAGGAGGGGTGAGGAGGCCACCTGAGATTCCAGCAGCTTTTCCCAGATGTTTGTGTGTGGGAATTGCCCCATTTACACATGACCTCGACGTCTTGGAAGGTGCTGGAATGTAGGCTGGGGGAGGTAAACTGAGATGGGCACCATCTACAATGATGTGGGGAAGCCATCTTCACGTTAGGTGAAAACTTTCTAGTTAAGCTACTTTGGGGTTCACCCTCACTGCTCTAGGCAACTCCACTCATGTTCTGTAAGCCCAATACACTTGTGGATTCCCCAGGGTGATCTTCAGTGAAATCATATTTTAGTTTGTTGTTGTGACCTCATAAGGAGGGATCAGACGTTGTTTATATCTCCCCAGGGAAGGAATTTCTGAAAAACTTGCCCCCTTTCTTACCTTCTCCACCCTCTGCCACTCCCTATTCACTCCTACCACAGTGGTCTGTTCCCTCCCCATTTTCCTTCCCTTCCCAGATGCCACCAGCGCCAGCAGACAGGGTTCTAGACTCAGTTTGAAGACCCATTTGTCCACCCATCTCCATCCCTCTTCTTTTTCCTGTTTGAATGCTGGGATGAATGATGGATCTCTGAGTAAATGAACAAACAGCCTGTTAGCAGTCATAGTGATGCCCCTGCCTTGGATGGTCACCATGCGATCCTCTTCACCTTTATTTATTTATTTTGTTTCTTTGTTTAATTTTATGAGACAGGGTCATATATCATATGCTAGCCTTGAACCCCTTACGTAATCAAGTATGATGTTGCAGTTCTGGTCTTCCTGCCTTCACCCACTGAGTGCTGGATGACAGGTTTGCACCACTGTTAAGTTTTAGATTAGGGGAGGTGTTGAGTCAAGAGGACTCTGCAATGGATTACTGGGGAGCAGGAAGTCTGTTACAAGAGTTATCAGTGCCATGGACTGAGAGAGAGTTGCGGGCAGTTGTAAGATGCCAGTGTACGTGCTAGGGACTGAGCCTGGGTCCTCTGCAGGAGAGCTAACTATTCCTATGCACTGAGCCATCTCTCTAGCCCCACCCCAGGAAATTTTTACAATACCTCAGGTGTATAAAATAGGCACATAAACCAAACATTTACTGATAATAAATCACAAAAAAGATTATTTTCAGATAATTCTGTGACATACATGTAATTTTACCATTCATTCAAGATGAAATGTACTTGTTTATTTTTACATGAAGATTTGAATCCTCTAAGGTGTAGAGCCTCTTCAGAGCTCATTGATGTTACAGTTTTATAATCATGTTGAAAATACTGCTTCACATAGATATGTAGTACACAGTGGCAAAAGTATGTTTAACACCATTTTAGAAATGATTGGGAAGTCTGTCCTGATGGTAAGCTGAAATTCATTGAATGATTTAAAAAAAAAACTCAAGTCAGCAACAAGCAGCTTTTAAAAAAAATATTTTTATTGTATGTATCAGTGTTTGCCTGCATGTATGTATGTGCACCATGCATGGGCAGTACCTGAAGAGGCCAGAAGAGGGCGTCAGGGTCAGATGAGATGGGGTAGTAGAATTGGAGGTTGAACTTCAGACCTTGTTGTATATTAGGCAAACATACTACCCTTACATATATCCCCAGGCCATTTTCTCCTTTATTTTTTGAGACAAGGGTTCATTAAGTTTCCTAGGCTGGTCTTAAACTCACCATGTAGCTCAATCAGGCCTTGAACTTGTGATCTTTTTATCTCCATTTTCCAAGTAGTTAGGCCTGCCCCTGTGGAGTCTTTGCTAGGAGGCCACCCCAGTTCCCTCAAGCCTTTCATCACACATTTTCCAGGTTTAGTATAGAATAGAGCCTTGATCTAAATGTCCCCCGTGGTCACACGTATCCTTGTGGCTGTATCTTCTAGAACAGTAGTTCTCAACCTATAGGTTGCAACCCCTTTAGAAGTCAAACAACTCTTTCACAGGGGTCGCATCTCAGATACCCTGCATATCAGATAGTTACATTATGATTCATAACAGTAGTAAAATTACAGTTATGAAGTAGCAATGCAATAATTTTATGGTTGGGGGGTCACCACAACATGAGGGACTGTACTTAAGGGTCGCAGCATTGGGAAGGTTGAGAACCACTAGAATTAACACAGTGGTCAGGATGCTTGAACTCTGATGTGCAGCAAAGAGCACAGGTTTGCTCTGGACAGACGAGTTGAAATCGAGACTGTCTATACTAGTTGCATAACCGGAAGGAAGTCCTTAGATCCCTCTCAGTTTCTGATTCATTCCCTGAAAGAGGAAATGGGGTTTTACCCTGAGGATGGTCTTAGACAACATCCCTGTGTAATAGCTCTTACTATCACAGAATACGAGCCATCATTACAGTGCGGTACTTTTCTAACCGGCCAGCCAGATGACTTCCACATTTCCTTAGAAGATGGCAGACAGATGCATTATCCTTGAGCCTGCAAGGACAGGTCCTACGGTGGGGTGGTGGTGGGTTTTCTCTGAGGTCAGGAGGGACTGCTGAGACCCGAGACTAGAGCAGCCTCCTGCAGAGGCTCCAAGTTTTCCCGTTTCTTCCAGCACCAGTGGAAGACCCTTTCTGCTCTATGTGGGCCTGGCGCACATGCATGTGCCTTTGACTGCAACGCCACCGTTGGAAAACCCACGGAGCCAACGGCTGTACCATGCAAGTCTCCGCGAGATGGACAGTCTGGTAGGGCGGATCAAGGACAAGGTGGACCACGTGGCAAAAGAAAACACGCTCTTCTGGTTTACAGGTAAAGTAGATAACCGCACAGGTTCTGTGGAAAACAGAGTCTGGTCATGTGACATCTTTAACAGGGAAGGGGCTGAGCGTGTTGTCTGTTGAGTTCTCCATGACTGAGTCATGGAGAAAGATTCCTACTGACAGAGCATGCACTTTCCTGGCCCCGGAGGTGTTGACTAGGGCCTGCTGACTATATACTCTTACTTGTTAAAGAGTGACTTTGACATTGGGAACATGTGTAGTCCTTTACCATCTCCTCCCTGGTCCCAGTGATTGTGGTTGCTACTGGCCAAATCTTTAGTCAGGTGGCTCCAGAACTGAATTAACGATCCCTTTAAAGGGCTCACATATAGCCAGGCATGGTAATGCACAGCACTCCATAGAGTTCTAGCACTTCGGGCTGGAGAGATGGCTCAGTGGTTAAGAGCACTGGCTGCTCTACCAGAGGACCCAGGTTCAATTCCCAGCACCCACATGGTCGCTCACAACTGTCTATGACTCCAGTTGCAGGGGATCCCACACCTTCACACAGACTATGTACAGGCAAAACACCGGTGTGCATTAAAGAAATAAATCTTTAAAACAACGACAACAAAAGAATTCTAGCACTTCAGAGTCTAAGGCAAGAAGATCTCCAGTTTAAGACTAGGGTGGGCTGTAGAGTGAATTTGAGGAGGATAGTCTGGGGTATATACAACAAGACTGTCTCAGAAAAATCCAAAGGTGGTGTATATGGGGGTTGTTACACCGATATTTTATATCTCAGGTCTCTATGTTGAAGAGTGGCAGCTGCTTTGGGTCAGGTTGAAACCTGGTTCTCAATATATGCTAATGGAGAGTAGGATCTACCCCACAGTATATTGTAAGGTGGAAAGTCAGTGTCCGTGGAGTTCTAGGTGCATCAGGGATGCTTAGTGAATGGTGACTGGGCTGACACAAATGACGGTAGTCATGGACTGCTAACACCACCTGAATGGGATGTGAGCGCGGAAGTTAAGGGTGGGGCTCACTGGGTCAGGGCAAGCCCCCCTCCCCCTTAGAGCCTAGTAGAGATGGGATCACTGAGACAGAGTTTTAGCTGAGTGTGATATGCACGCCCAGCACTTGGGAAGCATAGGAAGGAGGAGGTCCATGCTGCATCGGGTAGCCGTGCACTGACATCCACTCCTACAAGGAACACTTCAAATATAGGGATCATGCTAGTCTTTCTGTCCGATCCCCGATGTGCGCAGGGTTCTGACCAGAGAGGCGGGTCAGAAAAAGAGACCCACTGACCATCTCCCGTTTCTTTTTCCGGTTTCTAGGAGACAACGGCCCATGGGCTCAGAAGTGTGAGCTGGCAGGCAGCACGGGTCCCTTCTCTGGACTGTGGCAAACCCGTCAAGGTATTAGAGAAGTTCATCCAGTGGGGATCAGATCCCGCTCGGGAAGCCGAGTGCTGCCTAGGTGTGGGGTTTTGTCTTGGGGACAGCTATCTTGTGTCCTGGCCTGTTATGAAGCAGGGATGTAGTGGCTCACCAGCCACCAACTCTCAGAGAAGAAACAGATTGGGGTGGAGAGAAATCGTGTGTTCGACATCTCTTTCTGTCTTTTCTTTTCTTCCCTTCATCCTGACAAACCAGTCCATAAAGTGTCCAGTCAGGATGCTTTGCCTTAACTCATTTGGCTGCCTGTCTTTCCTTCCTTTGCCCCTTTTCTTCTCTCCTCCACCCCCCCCCTCCATTCAACCATTAGTTCTCGTCATCCATTCAAGAAATATTTAGTGCATAAGTCTGCGAGGTTGGGATTGGTCGTTGCTGTTGTTTTGTTTGGCAGGGTCTCCCTATGCAGCCCTGGCTGGCCGAGAACTCACTATGTAGACCAGGCTGGCCTTAAATTTACAGAGATCCTTCTGCCTCTGCTTCTGGAGTGCTGGGGTTAAAGGTGTGTGACACCACACCCGGCCCTCTGTAAGGCTATTATATATGTCGTCTCTAAGCCTTGTAATAGTGAAAGGTAGCTAGCCATGGCTTCACTTAGAGATGAAGGCAGAACCCGAAAGGAATTGAGTCACTTGCCCAAGGTCACACAGTTCATGAGAAGACACTAGGTTTGCCACTACAGTCAAAGTAGGTGCTCTCCCCACATACCCGGCGGCCTCCTAGGGCCATTTCTGGCTCTGTGCAAATGTACTTGAGTCAGAAGCTCACCTCCCTTCTGGTCTGGAAAAGTTCCCAACAAGGAAGGACCTTATATTCTGAGGGAGCAGCCACACTGGGGGCAGGTGTGCAGGGCAAAGGTTTGAAAAGTTCCATGCGCCTTTGAAGCACAGACTCCTCCTGGAAGCATTTGTTTTAGGGAGTTAATCAGCCAAGGGCACAGTGCGGATGCATGATGCACATTGCAGCAAGTTAAAGAGCCAGCGGGATCCAGTTCAAATACTCAGCGAGGGGAGTGTTTGAATGACTTAACCATTTAGGGGGACATCAAAGAATTAGTAAACTGGTGGACATTTATTGACTTGGAAATATTTACATTCAGTATTTTTCAGTGAATGAAACAAGTTATAAAATAATATGCAACGTCTATGCATGTACTTTATATAACTATGCATTGTTCAAAGTATAGCTTTATTACATAAAAGTAAGCTTACATCTTAGAAAAATCTTGAAGGAGGTAGCAAAGCTACAGAAGCTTAGCAGTGATTACTCTGGGTTTAAGAGGGAGTTTACATGTGATTCCCAATCCCTCCCTCCCATGGCAAACTGTTACTGTTTCATAAAAGTGTGAAAGAGGGATCAGAGGTATAGTTCAGTGGTAGAGTGCTTGCTCAGCATGTGTGAGTTTGACGTATAGCACTAAAAACATATTAAACCTGTAGAAAGTGGAGTGGGGATTTAGCTCAGTCTGTAGAGTGCTTGCCTAGGATGTAACTCAGTTAGTAGGGTGCTTGCCTAGGGTGCAGCTCGGTCCTTTGTTCAATCCCCAACATCCCATAAACCAAGTGTGGTGCCCATGCTTGTAATCTCAGCACTCAGAAGTGGAGGTAAGCGGAATCAGAAGTTCATGGTCACCCTTGACTGTATAGTAAGTTCTAGGTCGGCTGGGATATTTGAGACACTGTCAAAACAACATTAGAAGCAAGCCCAGTCCTTCCCTTCCTTCCTTCCTTGTCTGAGCATTTGTTGAGCACCTGCTGTTTCCTGCTCTTCCTATTTGTTGAGGATCTATTATATGCCAGGAGCAGTACTTTTTTCCAGGGATACAAAGACAAGCAAGGCTTCTGACCTGAAGGAATCATGGTCTTTAATAGCACTTCTCAGGCTGTGTTGTGTAGACACAGCACGATCCTATGGGGATCTTGCTAAAATGAAGTTTCTACTGGGGTCATCAATTGATGACGGTGGTTTTGCGTTTTTTGTGATACTCCAGGACAAAGCTGACATCACTGGTCACTTTGAGAACCACCAGCCTAGAGCATTGTTGTCTGTGATACCTGAATCTGTCGCTTATATCTCTGGACCTGTGGTTCCCCGAGGTGGGTGTGGTGGTGCAATGCTTGTAATTTCAGTACTCAGGAGACTGAGGCAGAAGGATTTCCACCAGTTGGAGACCAAGCTGGGCTCCATGGTGAGTTCAGAGTCAGCCTGGGCTATGTAAGGGGACTGTCTCAAAAAGCCAAAACAAATAACAACAATAACTACGACATCAAAAACAAAACAAAACAAAACCCTGTGGTTTCCTGATTGTTAGTTGTGTGACTTCCTCATAGGAAAATGAATCATAGTAGTGTGTGTGTGTGTGTGTGTGTGTGTGTGTGTGTGTGTGTGTGTGTGCGCGCGCGCGCGCGCTTGAACTCAGGCTCCTCCTGCTTAGCCCCATGAATGCTGAGATCACGGGCATGTGCTACCATATCCAGTAAGCCAAGCATTATTCACAAGGGAAGTAGAATTAGGATCTTCAGCATTCAAAGAATGCCAGAGTTGGTAGAGAACTTGAATTCACTTCCTGGTAGGACATGGAGGCTGAGGAGGATGGAAGATTTCCCCCACCCAGGCCAGCTGGTCAGATGATGGAAGAGGGTCACATGATCTGAGTTCATACCACAGCTCATGTGACTGTGGTTGCCCCCACCTTTCAAAACCTGATCATTGCTTAGCTATCTGGAAAATCCTGTGTTGTTTCTTTGAACTCCGTGGTTGTCAAGGTAAACATGGTTAGCCCCCGTGACCATCAGAATCGTTCTAAGTCAGTGGGAGGAGGGAAGATAAAGAGGCCTACGGGCTGGGAAGCATTGCTTGGCCTTGAGTCTCAACTGTGTAATGAGGAATAGAAGCTTAGTCCTTCTGTGTTGGGAGGTGATAGGCCCCCTTCATTACACAATGAGTGTAGGGTCACATGGAGGCATTGAACAGACACCCAGCCTGGTGCATGTGACTTCTGCTGGTAACCCCCATGAGACCCATCTTCTTTATTCATAGCAGAAACAACCTGGGCATCCTTCTCCAAAAGGAGAACTAGATTTAGGCTGAAGCAAGCCCTGGAAGGACTTGCTTACAGAAGTGCCAGACAGACAGACAACCCATGGCTGACCTCAGAGTGTCTTGTCTTGGGAAACGGCTCAGAGCTGGGGCCAGCCACCTTCTTGTTACACCGTTTGGGGCAAGGCTTTCCGATAAATTTTATGACTAACTGTGGTGTCTATGGGCACAAAACTTGAACTGGTGATGGGGCTGGGGCTGGATGCCACTCTTTGGCTTTCAAAAGTCTCAAAGTAAACTTGGCCTGAAAACTATGTAAAAATAACTGCCCCACCCCCAACTTTCCGTCCATGATCCCACAGCACCCTTCTTCTTGCCACCTGGAACGCTGCAGGGGCCTGACTCTAGGAAGCCAGGTCGAAGCCTACTGCGGCCGGAAGGGAGCTAGGTCTGTGAGTGAAGAGGGCTGGGTCCTTCTGGACCACCTGCTCCTCCTGACCTAGGTGTCTGTCTTAGGAAGCCCACACATCCCCCTGTAAGGCCAGTCTCAAGAGCCCACAAAAGAGAGAAGACAATGTTTTCGCAACGGAGTGGGACAAACAGTCCTGGGAGGCCTGCTCCTTCCTCCCCAAGCCAGCTTGCTATGTCACACCACGTGCTCTTTTCCTCTGTTCCCAGAGTGCCCCTCCTCATCTTCCTGCTCGTTTCTTGGCTGGTCCATCCAGCTCAGCTGATGGGATGAGGCAGCGTCTCCTGGAGTCATATTTTCACCCTGTGCTAGAGTGAGGATGCTCTACTTGGCATGGTTCCTGCCATCTTGGGATGAGGAGAAACTGAACAGGGTTATTGCGTGCGTGCAAATCAGGCTCACCTTTTTCCAAAGAAATAGAAAATGACTGCGAGTCTCCGCTGTCCCCAGACTCCAGTCACCTGCCTGTGCAAGAAGTCTGACTTCTAGCCAGTCTATCACATCTCTTTCCCCACTGGACCTGGCTCACACCAGGGTCAGAATCTACACCTTGTCTCCCCCACCCCATCTGACTGCTCCTCTGTCTGGAAAATCTTCCCTTGTTTTATTTGAAGAGCAGAAGTGTTCCTTCCTCTCCCTTGGTGATGAGAAAACATTCTGTGAACTTGGCATCATCTGCACTTCTAAGAGACCTTCCTTTCTGTAATCTGACCCTATCAGGCTGTTGCATAACCTCCCCACTGGGACACAGATCTCTCGGCATCTTGGGCCTCCTGTCCAGTTGTGGGAATAAAGAGAAGGTGGGGGAAAGGTCAGAGATGCTGCGTGCAAGTTGATAGCGTTGGTAGCTGCTGGGGCTGGCTAGGATAGGGCTTGTGGTAAGAACTCTGTGGAAGTTGAAGTCTGTCTTTTTCCAGCCTTTGGACACTGGCTTGGTAGAATGTTCCTGTCATCACACTTCAAGCCACCTCAGCCCAGCCACAGTTCTGGGTCCCACTGAAGCCTGGCTTCTCTGTGCTTTTAGGAAACTAGTAGTCTGTGGGCATTCTTGGCAAGGGTATGTATTTATATTTAGGAAGGAAGCTTGCTTCTCCGGAAGGTTATATAGGATGTCCTTCAGTGGGCTTTTCCAGGAATTTCACATGGAAATGCCAGTGTAGGAGAAGCAAGTCAGATAAAGGAGTGTACATACACAGCTGTCGGCTGCAGGCAGAGATCTGGCAAACTGGCCTTGTCCATGCCACTCAAAATTATTTAAGAAGGAGACTGTCAGCTATCCCGGCCCCTCGGAGGACTGCTACGTTCATGTACCAGGCACCAGGCAGGGCCCCTGGTGATGTTTTCCGTGAGTCTTTCGGTCGCCCACATCTGTGGCAGGTGCTGTGCACAAGTACCTCGCTTTGAACTTTATATTCATGCTCTTATGTAACTGTCCCCACAGCCCTGTGAGGTAAGG